CACATACACGCACACGCACGCACATAGGCGCGCAATTCGTGCTTGCGAACGCGGAGAGGAAGAGAGTAGTCCGGTTGGAGAGTGTGCCAAAGAGAGGAAAAAAAGCCGCGAGAGAGAAAGAGACACAACATCGACGAGAGAAAGAGAAGAGATAGTCGTGAGTGTGCCTGTCGGTTCTCGTTGATTCCTCCGTTCGTTCGTCGGTTCGGTTCGGCGTGGTATCGGCCAACGACGACGCGAATTAGTGTGCGAGAATCAGCATCCGGCAAGGAGAACGAGAAGGAGGAGTAGTAACGACAACAGCAGCAGCAACAGCGGCAAGTTTTGTTTTGATCGGCGAACGATCGCGCCGTCTCACGATCTTTGCCTCTCTTTCCCGTCTCTCCGTCGTGCAAGGCGCCCGCGGGGGTGCTTTATCGCGGTGTGGGGAGGAGATATCGATCGCGCGCACGGGACCATTGACGTCGTTCTGGAGAACGGCCGAACGTCGTGAGCGAGAAAGGGAGAGCGAAAGAGAGAGAGAGAGAGTGAGAAAAGAGGGACACGACGAGACGCGACGACGACAACGACAACGATACTTTTCGTTATCGGTGACTCTCGCACGTTCACTCGCTAGCTAGTTGGCGGTGTGCATTCACGCCGTCGTCGTCGTCGTTGTCGTCGTCATCCTCGACGACACGCGGCGCGTCCTCGAGCGAGATCGCGATCGCGGCTCGGCGCGGTGCGGTGCGGCGCGCCGCGTCGCGGCGCCGAGATCCCGAGGATCGCCCGCTCGCTCGCTTGCTCGCTCTCGGCCTCGCTCTCGTTGACGTTCTCGCGGGGCAGATCGATCGATACGCCGCTGCTCAGCAGGGACTCGGCCGACCGACCTGACTCCCGCCGTCGACATGCCCCGCTGATGATCCAGTAGGCTGTGAGATCGGTGAGTTTACTAAACTCAGTAGCAACGATGAGGAAGAAAATCGGGTGAAAGAGAGAGAAGGAGCGCGCGGGTGGGAGGATAGGGAGAAACACTCACAGTCACGGTGAATCTCCGTCGAGACCTCCCCCCTCCCTACTATCGATGTTATGTTCGTTAGGTATGCGCGTCTTCTTGAACTTCATCCAAGAGAGACGGTCGAGACTTCTCGACCCTGCGAGCTTCGCGGAGGGAAGTCGCACCAGCCAAGATCTGTTTCGCGAAGTTCTGCGATGATAATCTTCGTTTTTTCTCCCACACACGTTATGATCTTTGATCTCTCCGCGCGCGCGGATGAGATTCAAACTCTGCTTTATTCGAAACGCGACACAATAATTCTGAACAATTGTTCCAACTTCATTATCGCCACGGACAAGCCGAACAAACGTCTTATCGCGAGATTCTAACTGTTATTAAAATAGCGACGTTTAACACCATTTTGTTGTAGTAGAAACGGTAATTTGACGACACTGAATAGTAATCGCGAGTAATGCGGTAACCGGCGATCGTATCTTGTCTTTAATTCGATTACTACTGTGTGTTTTAGTATTCCACTCCTAATTCGATATCTGGGACTATCTTATTCAAGATGTCGTAATTTCATAATCATTCCGTATTAGATCTGTCATAGTCTGACGTTCTCTGGTCAGAATTACCAGAATGACAAGGGTATGATTCTCCTGGGATATATTTAATAGTATTTTATTGATAACATGAGATATGAGGAGCGACTAGGAATGATTATGATAAAATAATTAAACTTTTTATAAAGATGGTACAATCGTTTTCTACGAATGCACGTTCGATACGGTTAATCATTCTTCAAGCTGGAATTAATGCTGTGCTGATAAGACAATCAGAGAAACGTGTGTGCAGTATTACATTGTTTACGTTGACATGTAGTAGTAATTCCTTTATCTAATTTATAGTCGGAGCTAAACGAAGAGATTACATAATTTAAATATTACATAATTTATAGCTGGGATATGGATACCGGCGGTAGAAACTGAATGCAAAATAAAAATAAAGACGAAACGGGATTTTTCTGACAAAAATCTGAATTTGTTAATTGTCCTGTACAGAGTCCATTAAGAAAATTAATCCAAAGAAAAAAAAACAAACGTTTTTCGTGTGCCAAAAGATTGTGTTCCAGCATTGCATTTTTGAAATAATTTGTTCAAAATCCTAAAACGTAATAGTTATTGCTCACACCATGTAATAGCGATTGACGACGTTCGCTGAAATCTCCCTATCATATTTCCGCTATTAAAGAATGGTCTGATTGTAGTATATTGTGTTAACGATAGATTTGCTATCGTACCGTCGCGCGTCGTACGTTTGATACGCACATAAATTTTTGAAATTTTTATACAAATTTACGATAAACTGCGATAAATGTAAATTTCATTTATAAATAAACGTATAAGGAAGTAAAGGAAAATGTATACTACGCACATCGAACTGGAGTAATCAATGACGTAAGGTACATGAAATTGCTTAAGATTGCGAGCCGCTGATTGGGGGATTACTAATTCTTTTTTTCTGTCGTTATATCGACTTTGTTAGGTTGACCGAGAAAATAATGGGGACCCAGCTCGGTTCTCTCGCTCCGATTAAAGACGGCTCTCCCTTCGCAGAACATGAGAGAGAAAAGAGCGCGCTCGGTATCCACCGTGTAATCCGAGGATCACGCCTCTGTGATAAATTATATCTCCTGCCCACGGCGAGATACTTTAATCAGATCCTTAAAACAATATTCGATCATCTGGAACACGCACCATTACATTTTTATTTGGGACGGAGAAAAATGTGGAGCAGAGAAAAACTCAATATTTCGGAGTAGATCAATTTTCATTTAATCTCGTAAGATTATAGAAATGTTCCAATGGATCAAACTTCACTTAATCTGTAGCTAGCTAAATATCGCAATTTCGAAACGTCAACACTTCCCTTTATAGTTCCCATTATAGTGGAATTATTGTTGTGACTGTATGTTTCTTTACCTTTTAATTTCTCTATATGTGCGCAGCATTCATTCCGGATGTATCTTTCGCGTGAAATATTTCCGACTGCGTTTGCGATTAAGAAACATTTAACTTTTATTACAAGCCGCGTTATTTTATTCGGAATGCCATAAATCATCGATGGTCGTTTTGATCAGTTCGCTATCTAGCGCGCGAGCATCGGTGCGGAATCTGCGCAAGTTTGCACGCATAAACGATCCGACAAAGCGACATCCTAACGAGCCGGCATAGTTGTTAGTCGAGCGAAGATTCCATCGAGTAACGCATACATGCGCACACAAACGTAGGTCTGAAATTATCAGCTACAAGGATAAGATATAAAGAATAAGGCATAGATAAATAGATAGATAAAGTGTATTACGTATTCTTCAACATCTTCAAATGGGAGAAAAATTGCAGTGAGCGGTCGTTTTTACTCCAATTCTGGATTTCTAGAATGTTTTAGCAATTTTTGTGTCAGTGACAGATGTCTGGAAAGAACGAAGAATTTTGCTGAAATATCTAAAAATAATTTTTTTGAATCATCAAAATAATTATATAAGAAACTCAAACAAAATGCTGCAAAAAATTTTGACGTTTTAGTAATCAGTTTCAGCGTCCTTCATAATTATTTTCTAATATCTAATCTAATACAATTATTTTCAGATCTGTATTCAGCTAAATTAGATACTTCAGCAAAACTGTTCTTTCCGCGCGTATGATGTATTATATGTATTATAAACATAATAATCTAAAATCAATTAATCTATAGTGGCTATATATTTAAGCAATGCCGAATATTTTTTTTTAAATAACAGAGTAATGAGAATTGACACACTTAATATTTTTTTTAAATAATTTCTATTAGTATTGTACTATATATCATAATACATCCTGTTAACGCTCTGCGATTCTTAAACTTTGTCACCTCGTTCTTCGTATCTCGTTCTCATGTTTCATTGTATCTCGACCTCGACGCATCTCGCGCGATAATCCTTTGAATTCGATATTGACTCGGCTCGGTCGCGGACACAATCGCCCTCCGCGATAAGGCACAAGTTCTATCAGCTGGACCACATGCGCGCTCTCAGTGTGTGAGTTATAGGTATATATCTAGTCAGATAACAACGCTTCTTCGATCGACAAAGTCGCATCTCACTAACGGCCGATTATTAATCAGCGCGATGTAACGAGATGCAAATGAGCCTCACGTGTCGGCGTCGCTGCAACCGGCTCGCCAATGAAACGAACGCGCGATGATTAAGTACGGGCCGCGTTCGCTCGACTGGAACCTGCTCTCGTGTCCGCCTTCTGATAAGGATTTCGTAATTTTCAATCACTTTTTTTTCCTTTTTGACTCCGGGGTGAAGATCAAGCATTACGTAACATTTCGCGGATATCATATTAAAGATGTATGTACCTATTGCAACTCAAAGCATTACCAAAAATATAAAAATTTCATAGATTATTTTATTATTACGTTTTTTTTAATATTTGTGTAAAATTTTTTTACTTCTCTTATTGATTTCAAAGTTATTTAATTTTCTTGTTTGTCTCGATTTTTGTGTAAAATCGCATTTTACGTATTTACAAATTTGATGAGAAGCATCACGAATTAAATTTTATACTAATAAAATTTCAATAAACGTGTAAAAATTCATGCGAACCCATTTACTCGTTATGTTATTTACCTATATAAAACTGCATCAAAATATGATAATTATGCTGTCAAACCATTCAGTAACATAGGAGAGGAATCGTAATCGTACGTTACGTGTATTAGTATTGTGGATTTGTGTTTACTAATTATTCTTCAATTATACGATCGTTGAAGTTTTCTTTATGGCTTAAAACTCGTCCCTACTGAAGTCGATCATGCCGATCGGACCATTTGGCTCTCTTTTCTTCCTTTTCTTCTTTTATAAAGAAAAAGAAGAAGCCACTATGTCGATTGGCACGCTCGACTTCAGTGAGGACAAGCCTTTAGCGTATCGCCGAGCATTTGCTGCGACGTAATATTTTCATTGCGTTTTGATACTCCGTAAGTTATGGACGATACTATAATACGTATCGATAATAGACTTTTATATTACATCCGGATTGTTCCAAACCGTTAACCGAAGAATTAGTCCGTGGTAGTGTTTGAACAGCTGTTGGCATCCTGCGCTTAAATCTTAAACAATATTCCACTCAAACAAAAACCCTAATTCCCTAATTCTCCAACTAATCGATTTCTCAAACAAATTCTTTCCGACAACCCTCGCCACGATCTCGCACAGTAAGATTATCCAGCGGTTTATTTCCGATATTACCTTATTGTGCATCATTGTAATATTATGCTCACTCGTTCCTGATACCGATTTCACTGTGTCTCGGCCCTGGGATGTATAGGCCGGTGTAGGCTGGTGGTCGCTGACCCTCACTCCGGGGATGGCGGTGTACGCTCTTGTATAATAAACCGAATTCGATCGCGCGCGGGAGACACGTCGAGCGTAGCTTTTCCTAGATCTCTTCGTCGTACATCGCCGGTAAAGATAGCAAAGGGGGATATACATATAGCGAGCGCGCGGACGTGCGACGAGCGCTATGCCGCTTTTCATTCACTAGTCGCGCGCGCGCGAGTAATAATTTATCTCCACCCCCTCTCACGGTTGGAAAAGTCGTGCCTACTGCGCGGGGAGTACACACGTGCATCGATCGATCACACGCGGAACGTCGATTCCGCGTCGAGGTGGCAAGACGGTGATAGCGCGCGACGTCGAGAAATCATTACCTCCCGCGAACTCGGCGGAAGGTTTATGCTCCCTTTCCCTTGCGCGTGTTTCCTTTTTTCGCAAACAACATCAAACATCCGCCGTGAATCGGTAGCCTTTTATCTCGTATCGATAGATACATCCGTAAAAAACATTGTTTATCTGATAATCTACTGCTGTTTACAAAACAGGGACACTTTTACATACA